CAGGGGTTTGTGTCCTTGATGCCACTGTTCTGTTCATCCACTCTGATAGCAAGGGTCAATTTGATAGTAATGCTGGAAATGCTTTTGGCCATCCGATCCCTCTTCTGCAGTGGTTGTACTTATGCCATTGCTGTTACCCTTGGAGCTGGACTGGTGTTTTGCACCAGTTGGGTAATCTGGGAAAACATGGGGTTACAATAGAAAAGAAAGCAAGAATGCATTGCAGAATATTTAATGTTTCTGGTACTGTGACTAACTAATTAGACTAACCAAGTGGAAAATATTTGCTGTTCTCAGAGTTTCCTGATAGAAATGTGCAGTCTTGTTTTAATTTTTCAGAAAGGTAAAGTCCTCTCTAATGGTGTTCTCCATTCTCAAGCTCTTATCAGCTTGGATGTTTTGATGGGGCTTTGCAATGCTGAATATATCTGTTTAGATTCTGTGTGCTTTCAAATACCAAATAATTCCTTAATCAGTGGTTCTACTGGTGTTTGCGTTGCTGTTACTCCTTGCTTACAATAATACTGGTAAGTTTAGGATTGGTTATTTGCTGTGGCATTGGACGTAGTGTTGCTTTTAATGGCAAGGAAGTCAGCAGTGCTCACCATCCAAAATGAGGTCAGTGTTTGAGTGCTGCCTGGATCTGCTGTTGTGGCTGTAGTCGTCTTTGTGCCATGGCTATGAGCAGTGGACCGCTGTACTACAGGACCTTTCCAAAACAGCTCATGCTTGTTTTATCACTAGTGTAATGTGTCCAGTGGGTGGTCTCTATTTTGCACTGCATATCTGGGTGAAGCCGATTGCATTTCTATATTCCCATTTTAGCTGGAGTCCATGTACTTAGCTCTATGTTTCTGTTTTGTTTTTTTTACTAATGATATGATTGGAAAAGTTGACATAATCATTGCAGGGATTTTTCCTATTTGATTATTCTTTCCCAGCCTTTAAGATGTCTACAGGGCTTAGCATTCCTGGAAAAAACCTGTCATCTTTACAGTTGTGATATGCAAAGCACAGTAGATAAATTACAGAATTTGTGTGTGTATGTTGCCTTATAAATTTTGCATCTTAATTACATGAAATTACTGTCCAAAAAGGCATCCAGTTCACTGGTTAGATTTTTACTAGCTTTTTTAATCCCTTAAGACGAACAAAAGTGCCAGAGTTTACATAGACTAGAGACCTCTACTGTAATTCCTGATCTGGTCAATTTAAAACTCTTCAGCTTAAAGGTAAAGCCTTCTATCCCATGTGCTGAGAAACTGTCTAGATGCCTTCCAAATATTTCTGAAAAACATCTTGGAAACAAAATGAACACTTCCCTTGGAATTTAGCTGTTCAAGGTGATCATCTGTTGTGACCCGCTTGAAATCCAAGGCTACTGTCATGGCTGAAAACATGCAATACCGATGTCTGATTATTTAATGGGCAGAGTTTACATGAATAGTAAATGCAGCACAGCTTACCACAAAAAACTCTCCTCCCCTCTGCCCACCCTGAAGAAGTTCTAAATCATGATGGAAACTGCTTAGTGTGTCAATAGGCTATAAAACTTTGAAGATAATTTCCAAGGCTGTATAACTGTCAGAAGAGAACACCTATCTTTTAAGAAGTCTTTGGCTTAGATATGAAGTGACACTTGGACAATGCACAGGATTTTCTGGGTAGAAAATGGACCTGTCTGAACCTGCTTTTACTTTATCGCTCTCTTTGAGGATGCTTTGCTGCAGACCTGTGGCTGGTATGGTAGTTTTGGAATTCCCTGTTCACTTTGCATTTGCAAATTAACGCATATTTAAAATGAGTGACTAGGACCCAGAGGTTTATCTGGTCTGCGAGCATGCTTAAGTACAACTTTGAAACACTTCAAGCTTCCCTCTTATCCATGTTTGTAGCCCTGAGAACACTGTAACCAAAGTATCTCAGCTGCTTTGCACACTCCTGAGGAGGCAGCTGCTTTGGTTTTCTGTTGACAGGTTCCATAAAAAAATTGATAACTACAGTAGGGAGGAAACTAAGACTGTATTTGGATTGTATTTGTGGTTGTGCTGTGGTGTCATGCTCTGAAGTCTTTGGGGATTAAATAGTTTTTATTGGATAAATGCCCTCAAAGTTTTTTTGCTTCAGATCACTCTTCTGGTGGGTTTTAGCAATTGGCATGTGCCACTAATGCTGTGTAGATGCATTGAACTTCTGCTGGAACAATCCAAATTACTATTCTGTAAGAGACTGATGTTCCTGTCTAAAATTTTCTTCCTAAAAGGTGCACAAGAAATGTTTTGGGGTTTTTTTGGTAGTTTGAGAGACAGTTGTAGTTTAGACATCTGTTTTCATATAAAATTGTTACTGCCTAAGTATGGCTGATTCCCTGCCACCTTCCTTTCCTCTTCCTGCTCTTTTAGGAAAGTGTGTGCAAGGATCTAGTCTTAAGCATTCATCCGTTAAAGGCGTGAGTCCAACTTGCACCTTTTGGGCTGCAAAATGACAATTATTACATAACAGGGATACTACCAGCTGACTTCTTGCTTTCACTGGGATTCTGCTCAGCAACGACTGTTATTTGAGCCAGTATGTAGTGTAACTTTTACAATGTGGCTGTAATATAGCCAAAAGTCACTTGCGTCCCCTCTTAGCCTTCTTTGGCAACATTCTTTCTGGCAACTTGCTCCTGTTTGAGAAGTCAAATGACATTGATTTAACCACGACCACCCCCATACCTTTGTTTTGTAAGCATGGTGAGTTACATCCCTGTAAAGACAGTATTTTTAACCTGAAGATGGCACAACTTAGATTTATCCAAATGTCACTCATGACTTGGTAAAGGAAGAGAAGAACTGCTTCTGAGAGTAAGAGAAAAAGGAGACCTTAGGCTGCTCTAACTTGGGTATAGTGTGAAAGATTTTAACACCCTCCTTCTGTCTCATACTTTTGTACCACGCTGTCTGTGGTGCACAGAAGAATGTACAGCCTTGGAGCTTTTCAAGGTAAAAGGGAGTAATCACTTCAGGCAGACTCTGTGGCTGAAGTTATCTGAAGTGTGGAATACAGCCAGAGAGAAATAATAAGGTGTTTGTATTATAATAATCAAACAAAGAGAATTCATCTTGAAATACTTTCACACGAGTTTAAAAGTACTGTTGACTTTTTAAGTATATTGTTGGGACCTACTGATAGAAGAAAGTAGTATCTCTGTAGAGATTTTGTGTATAATATTCTGTATAGTAATTGGAAACTCTGTTGTGTACTGTTCATGAAGGCTGTGTAGGCTTCCTGTGAAGAGAACTCGCACATTTTTCACACCCTAAGTTTGTCAAGTTTGTGTTGGAAGAAGTAGCATATGGTACATGTAACTCAGTGATGTTTGAATTTTTATTTTTTTTTTTAGATTAAATTGGCGCTTGCCTTTCCTACTGGGAATAGTATTACAGGGCACTATTTCTTTAGCTCTGGAAGGCTTCTTTTAGTTTTGGAGTGTCTGATAGGTATCAGAAGCTAATTCTGTTTGTCTTCAGCTCCTGATGAATATTTGAGAAATACTAGACCACAGCACCTTGAGTTCATAAGTTCAGATCTTGTTTTGGATCAGTAATAAGAAAACTACTGCAAAATGGCTCTGTGCTGCTTATGGGAAACTTTGGAACTTGAGCAAGACTGTCAGACAGGAAGGAACTGCAGTCCTGATACCAGCCCTGCTAACCTCAGAATGCAAACCCTGATAAGCATGCATACCACCACTTGTAATAGGTAGGGAGGAAAGGCTGAATAGATCTTAAAAGGAATAATTTTTCCCATCCCACTCCTCTTACAGATAACAGAAGGCTTTTAATCTGATCTGAAGAAAATTGGCTGAGAAACCAACAAACCAACAAGTTTGTTGTGAAACCTGCGTACCCCAGCCCTGTTCTTCTGCTGGACAGCTCTTGCTTGTAGTTCAGCTCATGGTGACAGCAGTGCAAGTAATTGACAGCTATTTTATGGTGTACGCAGTTTGTGCACCTGTATGTACGTTTGATTTGCATTTCACTGGAGTAGTGCCATTTTTCGAGTCTGCACAAATATTGGCAGTCCCAAACAGCTGAGCTTGGTGCTCATGAAAAAAGAAGATAATACCCTTAAGCAGGTAGCTGGTTTTGACCAAGTATGGGTATATGAGAAAATGCGGAAGTAGGTTGCCTTCATACATGTCTATATATATCGATTTGTCCATCTCATTTGCATTGCATTCATTCTCGTGTGATACCTCACAATCCTAATTAGTGGCAGTAAAGAGATGGCTAATGACCAAAGACCCAGACAAAACACTGCTACAGAAAGCAGTGGATCGCAATCACCGTGGTTCTTAAGGGAAGACTCGTATTGCTCTTCAAGGAAAATATACCTAACATACTTCATCAACAGCAGTCTTGTACCGACAACCTCAGACACTGACATGATTTCTAGTCCTGTCAGGTTTTGGTTTGGCATGTTTCAAGACGAGATACTTTCAACGGGTTTATGGATAAAGTCATTAAAATGGGTTGGGCACCGTAGCTTTTTCCAACCACCCCTGCCCCTCCTTGGGCACAGCTAAGAGCAAAATGAAATACTCTGGTAACCAGTTGGGGGCGGTGGTTTTTGTTCTTACCTTTACTTAATGTGTTATTGTTAGGTGGAAGTTTGCAATAATTAATGCTCAGTTATGCACCAGGCTAAAACTCAGTAATATGTGGAAGTACTCGCTGTTATTCTGTGTTTGTAGGCTGAGGTTTATAGATGGTTGTGTATGGTAACTAGTGAGCAACATTCTTAGATTGGTTCATGACTTCAGTGCTAAGTTTGGGGTTTTTTTGTCTCCTTGCTAATAGCTGAAACAACTAAAACTTGGCCTGCGTGCCTATCCTTCTCCATTCTTCTGACTCCAGTAAAACAAAATTGAACTTTCCCTTTTGATGGTAAAAGCTAATGAGTTTTTCCTTTTTTAAAGCTTCTCTCTAAATTTAGTTTATTTTCTTGTCTTGCAGGCTGCTATATGGCAAGCACTTAACCACTATGCTTACCGTGATGCAGTGTTCCTTGCAGAAAGATTATATGCAGAAGGTACGTACCTTGCAAATATAGAGTTGATGGTTTTTTCAGTTTTGATTTAGGATTTTTGAGCCTCTGGTCCTGCTTTGTTTTACTTCTGTTGTTGTGATAATGAAGCTTAACTTTCTGCTTGGGGAAAGCAGAAGAATGCCTTGCAATTAGGTTGGAAAAACCAAATCATGTAACAGCAGCAATGTTAGTTTACAGTAAAACCTTCTTAAAAGAAAATTAAAGTCAGAGTTATGGGTTTAAGTACAATGTTTACAGTGATCTGTGGCATGGTATCAAATGGGAGAGGGGGTTTTTTAATGACTTTAAGCATTGCATGTCTTTCAAGGGCACTTCAGGATAGATGCAAAAAAGTTGCGAAAGGATAGATGTGAAAGTTGTCTTTGCTAATAATGTTGTTCGGATATGATGATTGGTGTGTTAGGTGAAAGAGAGAAGCTTGTGATGATGAGAGAAATGTGTAGTGAAATTGAAACAATGAGAACCGGAACATAGGAGTAGGTATCTGCTGTTGAACTGTTGTTCATTGTTATTTCATTGTAATGCTGTCACATCTAGGGTGTCTTGGATACTGAGCAGGCAGCAGTAACACAAATCCATACTTTTCTTAGGTCCTTCAAAGACCACTTTTTTCTTGTGTCCTTCTTCCTTAACCTTTCCTCCATGACATCAGATAAGCTTTTTTGTTCTTCTCTACTTCTTTCTCCTTGATACTAGTGTTCATCTTTTCTTCTCTCTTTTGAAAGGTATTGTCCCCTAATCACCATCAAAAAAACCAAATCAACCCTTAAGCTAAAAAATAAGCATAGTATAATTTCTCATGCTAAATGACTTGAGCTTATAATGAGAATGAAACTGTAGAACCTGTTTCCTGCTCAGTATTTTGTAATTAAATGTTTTGCTTTCAATGTTTTGCCTCACATGCCCGCAATGCACTTCTTAACAACAGAAGCACAAATCTAACTTTTTAGAAAGAAAGACTTTATTTTCCTCATGTCAAGGTTACCCATGACATCTGGGGTCTTCCATCTGGTGCATAAATGAGAAGTGTTGTGTAAAATATCACGGAACCTTGTAATCTAGGTGTGCGTAAAGGAAATGCTGGTTTAGGGATGAAATCTCTCCCCTGAACACAGCACACTGAGATGCAGGGCAATGCTGAAATTGAAGGTAATTGCCAAGGGTGTAGAAACTAAGAGAACCCACATTTTGCAGCAGCCAGGAGAGAAATACATGACTTGATACTGATGCTATCTTTGCAGAGTAATACTCTGCAAGAGTACTTCAAGCAGCTTTTTTGGTGACCCGCACTGCTGAGAGAGAACAGCATGCATGCTGTCACTTGGTTCAAGCAATTAACTGCTAACAAAACATCTGGCTTCTGGTTAAAATAAGTAGTTATACTGCAGAGTAGAAGCTGCTGAACTTGAATACAGTGACTCCATATTGGCAGTAGAGTTTTTGCCCTGAGAAGAACTTCTTTTAAGTCCACCTGCAGTTACTGTCCTTGTGGGGACATCTGTGGCTTGGTAGTTTTCCAGAACTCTTGTAGTGTATTAAATTAGTGGATAAAAGAATTGATTTAACTTTAATTTTCAAATATATCTTCTGGTGGTTTTAGGATAAGGCTAATAAAGTGCCCTCTTTTTGGGTATTCAGTTTTCATTGTCACTGTCTGGGTGATGACACAAACTTAAAACCTTATAGCAAAGGATTTGAGCAGGTTGCCCAATGGGGTTTTTGTATAATGCTCATACTGATTTTTCTGAAGAGTTCCATGTAGGTAGATGAACAACCATCAAAATAGTTTCTTTTAGTGCTGAATTCCATTTGTGTGGTAGCATGTTCTGAAAAGTATAAAGTAATGTGGGTTTCTTAATTGGAGTTTTAAGTTGCTTGCCTGTATAGACAGCTTTTCTTTGATTTAAAATACATTGCTGCATAAGGGTGATTTGAGTGTAACATTTGGGGAAGTACAGAGAATAGGGTAAGACACCATGGCTGTACATAATCTGTGAGCGCATCTGGATATCTCCCACTTTTTGCTTAAACCCCAGAAAACAGGGTTAAAATGAAGTCATGCAGGTATTTCACACAATCATAGCTTAATGCTTGAATTAACACCACAGCATGGTAATGCTCACCGTTGCCTCACAAAAGTGTGTTCTCTGGTGTTTAAAGTTTCAGATGATAATTTTACAATAAGGTTTTAAGGTTACTTCAGGGTACGCTCTCTGTCCTGTATGCTGTAATCACAAGTAAAATCAGCAAGTTTGACCTCAGTCTTAAATCTGGATGCCAAGTCAAGCTCTTTGAATAGAACATTCTCGGTGTGGTACGTAATTCATCTCTGCAATGGAAGGAGTGTTGAAGCAGACATCAAATCTAAATACTTCCAGTTTCTGCCATAGAGCAATGTTTCTGTCTTGATTACTCTTGTTGTCTGTTTAGATACAGATGATTTTTCCTGAAGCTTGACTGCTTCATTCAGAATTTAGAAACTTGTGAGGACTCAGCTTGGGAAGAGGATTTGTAGGAGAGCTTACCCCTATTGCTACTTCCTAACATAAAATAAAGAAAAGCATCCGAATGGTAATGTTAAGCCTTGTTCCAAATGAAATAATAAGTGTAGGCAGCAAGAAGGACAAGACTTAATTTTGGGGTAGAGGTGACTGGTAATTGACAGACTTTATAATAGTCATTAAAATTGGAAAGTCTGCTCTGCTATGTCATGTGAAGATATAGCATCAAGTGCTTTAGAAAAATTAACAGAAGTAAAATTGCAAACAGGGAGAGACCACTTGAAATTAGGATTAAAACTGGTAATTAGGCTGAAATAGCTCTTCCTTCTGAAAGTTCTTGTACTTCCTGGCAGCCATTGTTGTGCCAGTGTTTATGCATTGCTTAGCTAGTGCAAAGTGTTACTAGCAGGTGTGATAATACTCTGAGCCAAGTCTTCCTGTGGCCAATGATTGTTAAAGTAGCTCTTTGGTTCTACTAGGAATGACTGCTTTGCTTGACATGCTGTTACTTTAACAATAAGCTGCCTAATCGCTTATTTGGATTAGGTAGCCAGAAGGATCAAAGTTCTCTTAGGACAGTAGATGTTAAGAGTTGGTCTGACTATACGAGAAAATGTCATATGGAAGTTTGTTATATGCTGATGAATAAGAAGTGCATTTTGTTCGGTAACAAACTTCTCTAATATCGCTTATTGTTTTCTTGTATCTTGTTCCTAGCTGGCTTTTACTCCCTGCTCCCAAATTCCTTGTATCAAAATGGTAAACAACCAGTTGATGATTTTTAATTTTTTTTTTTCCATTTTTTAGTACATTCAGAAGAAGCACTCTTTTTACTGGCAACATGCTACTACCGCTCAGGAAAGGCCTATAAAGCATACAGGCTCCTAAAGGGACACAGCTGTACTACCCCACAATGTAAATACCTGCTTGCAAAATGTTGTGTTGACCTCAGCAAGTAAGTAAATCCTTTGTTCTGTGCAGGGTTACAAATGCTTTTATTTTTGTTGTTTGGATTTCTCTTCGAAAGCTGTCATATTGCATAAACTAGTAATTTGTTGGTCCTTCAGCATAAAGTTTATTATAAGTTCAATTCATTTTGCTTTCAGATATGGACCTAGTGAACATTAGCCCATATTGCAGAAACCTCTAAAAGGTATTGAATAGCTTACAAAGGAGTTGTCAAGCTGTGTAGGGGGAGAAAACATGGATTGCTGAGATGACTCAAGGAAACCACTCTGGGAAGCGTTTTGTTTTGTGTTTCTCTGATACTTTGCTTATTTCATTAAGTGTTTCCAGTATTAAGATAATGGATAGGCCACTTCCTTCAAACAGTAAGCTTGCTCCTCTTACCCAGTTACTGCTAACGGATGGGTGAGGGAAAAGATGGCAGACAGAAATCTGTTTTTAAAAACCTGCAGCAAACCCATCTTGAGTCCACATCCAAGAGTGCTTTAGTCAACATCAAAATTAACCTTGACAGGGGCGTAGCAGTGTCAAGGTCTATTGCTGGACTTCTGGAGTCTAACAGCAAGAGTATAGAATAGAATTAATTGTTCAAGCTACAGGTCCTAATGCCCTGAGAATTTGTTAACGAGAGTATTTTGCTCCTATGTAGACTTTTCAGATCAAATGTAGGAAACAATGTGGCTGAAGTGCAGAATGAAGAGGATGAGGCATCAAGAAAGGCAAAAACTGTTCAGAAAACTTTAAATACTGTGAGAGTTCTTTATGGAAGCTTAAATTTCTCTACAAAACAGCTTGTGATTATGTGTTGTGGCTTTTTTGGTTTGGGTTTTTTGTGTGTCCCTCTTCCAATGGCAAAAAAAGTTCAATTGCTTTAGAATAGGTAATGTGATGTTTGGAGTTTCACACAGTATGATGTGATTATTTTGCAGGATTTGTGATCCTGCTCACAACATATAACCAAAATGAAGGTCTCTGGAGAGGCAGCAGGGGAAGCTCCTTAGTCTTTGATACTCTCTTTAGTAGGAGAGTCCTTTGACATCTTTAGAGTGGTGAGGATGTCTTGAGTTGTGTTTCTTTTGAGACTCTTTTAACACCTTTGGAGCTATTAGGATACAAGTTTCTCTGCATCTTCTGTTGAAAGGGAAATCATGTTAATGTTCTACTTGGAAAGGTCCCAGTGCAATGACTTTGAAGCTGATAGTTCCCTCCCTTGCTTTTACAAAGTCTGGTGTGTGCGTATAGTACATCAACTTCTGAACTGATTTCAGGTAGATAAGTGGGATTTCTTAAATGTATTCTTCAGAACTTGTTAGATTTTAACTGTCATTGCTGTTCATTTTGAGTTCATTTATACAGGTGTACCTAACTTTTTTATGGGAATGGCCTATACTGATAGAAGCATCTACCTACAAGTATAATTTCAAGTGGAGGAAAGAAGAGATGATTTGTTTGTGCAGGTGTTGGTCTCAAATGTCAGAAGAATAGCTCCCATCCTCAGAAGTTGTATAA